GGGGGGGGGGGGGGGCATGCAGGCAACAGCCAGGCTGCAGCACTCCAGGTTGGGGGCTGTCATAAGGCTGGTAAGCAGTTTTTCAGGGCAAGGTTGCCATGGCAACGGGAGAACAGGTCTCAGCAAGCAGTAGCGAGGGGTGAACAGCCTGAGCGCTGTAGAGGAAATGGCTCTAGCCAGGGGTCAAAGAAACGGGCCTGTGCCACATGCACCTGCTGGCGCAAGAGGCAGTTGAGCTGGGTAGTGCAGGTGGGATTCTTGGCTGCCAAGGACGCAGGAGGAGGCGTTAAGGATGAGGTGTTACGGGTGGGGGAGCACTTCTACCACCACAGACAGTAGCAACATACTGACATTAAACCATTGTTAGGTTTCAGACATTCATAACACCGCCTGGGAGAGAGCAGTCCGCAGCACTGCTGCTCAAGCCTGGCTGCAGCCACAAGCGTTCAGCTCACGATTTAGTAGTTTTCTTTGCTAGTGAAGCACTGGTAAAATAAGCCTTTGTCTGCCAGTCACGCTGCTGGTATAGATTCAGCACGTGACCTGCAATAACACCAGGCCCTTGCTACTTCCTCCTTGCTTTGCAGATGCGAACCAACGTCACACTGACCATGCGGCAACAGTCCTGTGTGCTCACTCCTGCATTTCTGGCAGCTGCTCTCCTCAGGACTAGGGCCCCGTGTCACTCACCCCGCCAGCCCTTTTAAAACATCCCTAGGAACAACTCAAGTGCTCTGTTCACTCCTCTTGAACACTGGTCCCCAACATAGATCAAGCCTAGGGGTCCTCACTGGAAGTGTTTTCACAGCAGCTAGCTCTGCTACGATATAGTTTAAGCCTGTTCCAAGCTAAGCTTCCAGCTTGTGAATTAAGTCGCATGAGGTCAGACCAACTCCATTTCCCCCCGCTATCACTGTAGTTCTGCAAGAAAGCCATCGAGTTCCCATCAAGATGTCCTGTACAAACCCATCATGCTACTTGCTGCTCGTGTCTTCATTATCGGTTAAATGCCTGGAAGTGGTTTAATAAAAGTTTTTCCAGCATGTACTAGACAAAACCTGCCCAGTTCACTCTTATTCTGATAAACGGGCGCATTTGCTCTGCTTCGTTCTTCACATATCTCCCAATGTGTCTCTTAGCAAGGACTGGAGTCTTAAGTGGCAGTCAGTTTGCTGATCACTTCCCCTTATCTAGGAGAATTTCACATAGCACATGCCTACATGCTCGTTAACAGGAGCCGGAAAGCCTCACAGTCTAAACCAGGGGTGGGCAAATAATTGGGCTAGGAAGTTTTGGCAAGCTCTTGCAAGCTAGGTCAGCACCCCCCAGCCCACAACAGCTCACCAAGAGTCCTCAAGTGATAGATTAGTAGACTGGTCTGGGGGGCACCAGACAGAGAGAGTGGGCAGGGTCTCCCCCCCAGTCAGCTGGGTGAATAGGATGGGGCTGTGGGCAGGCAGAGAGCAGGAGGCCGGGGGTAAAGCCATGATCCGCCCCCAGTAAGGCCCCATGATCCTGGGCCTGACCTCACCCATCCTGCTTCCAGACACTGCCCCCTGCACCCCCATCCCATTGCCCAGCTGAGTGCACCCTGCCTATGGGGTCCCGGGTCTGTCTCCATGGAGACCCCTCCCACCTGCTCTGTCTTGCTCCTCCAGGTAGTGGGGGGGGCAGCGCAGATCAGGGTCCCTAGACCCAGTGGCACCAGCAGCTCCTCTGGCTGGCAAGCAGAGTCCAGCCACTGCATTGCCCCAGCCCTGCTGCACGCCCGGGGGTGGCAGGACTGACCACGTGCACTGCAGTCCAGGCTGCCCACCACATCTGGGCTGGTTGGGGCCGAGGCACCCCCTGCAGACTGAATAAAATCCCTTGGCCGGCCAGATCCAGTCCACGGGCTGTATTTTGCCCACCCCTGATCTAAGCCGTTGTTAACAGACTAGCTGCAGGCACCCAATTCTTTAGATCCATTACCTACATTTCCCAGTCTAATCATAGGCCTGCTGCTTTCTCCTTTGGGACAGCTCCACTGCATGCATTCAGTCAGTGGAGGCTGCCCTGTTGAGTGCAGTTGCTGGCCCCTTTATTTGAAGGGGCGGGGGGACAACACCAGATGTGCCTCCAATGATGCAGCCCTTCCCTGCTAGCCTTCAGCATCAGGTCAGACTAGCTCAAGCTCTTTGCCCCAGCTCTTCCCCTCACCCACAAAGAGTGGACCCAGATCTTCACAGACAGTAATGTGGCTGCAGCACTGACAGGAGAACCTGGCCCAAACAGGCCTCTGCCTGTTGAAAAGCTGGTCCCCGAGGGCCACTTCTTACTTCTGAATAAGACAATTCAAGAACCAGGTACTGACCAGTCTCGAGGAGACTCATTTGGCCCATCATTCTGGCAAACAGCTGTAGACGTTGAGGACTGATGTACACATACGAACTCCACCCAGGGAGCCTGTACTTACCCTGGCATTGTAAGCATCCAACTGTGCATCTAATTCTTCTGCAGAGAGTTGCTGCTTTGAACTTCTTCCTGTTCCTCTGCCTCTCCCTCTGTTCCCACCACGGCTACCTCGCCTGTTACTACCTCCACCACCAAATCCTGACCCACGGGTTCTGGTCATGCCACCTCTGTTTACACTGTGAAGCAGAGAAAGCAGTTTTGTTAGTCATGGCACAGTCCCACCACAAGGAAAGCCAACCACCAGGAAAATGCTGCAAGGACAGACCTGAAGCCCAAAGCCATCTTCCTACAGAAGCAGGCTACACAAATTCACTGCCCACATGAAGAGAACGAGTCACCCAGGCCCCATGAGACAAAACATCTCACCTTTGTATCGGTCTCCTCTGTGTGTCTATCTGTGATGTGACCAGTTGGATGTTCATGGGGCGCCCTGGGAGAGGGGAAAACGGAATACAAATTTCTGCCAGTGGCACTGGCAACTAAAATCCTTCCCCTACTGAATCAAGTGTCCCCTGGAAAGAGCCAGGCGCACTCACCATCCAAGGGGACACCATTGTACTGCTTCATCGCCTTCAGAGCATCTGCCTTTCTTTCAAAGTGTACATCTGCCGTCCCTAAACTGCGTCCAGACCGGTCATAATGTACTGCCGCCTTCTTCAAGGTCCCAAACTCTGCAAAGAGTTCCTGAAAAACAGAGAAAGGGGAGCTGTTGGCACTTGCTGAGATGCAGAGAAGCTATTCCACAACAGAGACAAGAGCCCGGAGGAGGGGAGGGGAGGGGAAGGCGGCATCTCTAGCTGCGGCACCAGCCCAGGAGATAGTGTTCCACACACAGACAGAGAGAGAGAGAGAGAGAGAGAGAGAAAGGACAGAACTCAAAGCCACAGGGGCAGCAGCTCCAGAAGATGGAGTGAAAAGCAGATCTACGTGGTCAGGTTCAATTAGAGACTTTGCTCGCTGGACCGTTTACACATAACCCACTGAAACCACTCCTGGGACACTGAGCCGATTCTTCCTCAAGGGGAACTTTGTACATCTGATACCAAGATCAAACCAATAATCCTGAGCTCAGTGACACAAGTCTGCCACTCGCCTCACCAAGGAGCCGGTCACTGCTATAGAGCTGCACTAATTCCTAAGCACGCCCAGAGGGTCTGTGTGGCAGTTTTCAGTGGAAACTTGTCTGGCAATCATGTGAGAAAAGATTTAGTCATTCTGAAACCTAAGGTGATGCTCCAGGCTCTCTTGCTTTCTGCCCCCAGCAGACAGAGGGGAGGACAAGCAGCCGCAAGCTTTGTACAGCAAGTTTTATATTTGAGTAAAGCAACTGGCAGTAGCTTGCTGCCTGCTCCAAAGTCTGTTTCTAATGTACCTAGCTCCCACTGAAGCCTGAGCACGCCAGCAAGCAGCTCACTCAGAGGGAGACTGTGTGCGCCCACGGACAGAACAGGAGCAAGATCTCAGACCTGCTTTGAGGCTGCCACCAGGAGTGACCCAGGCTGTCATTTGAATGCTGTGGCCTAAATTCCTGAGTAGCAAGATGGGGACACCTACCTTCTTTTCAAAAGGGCTGCAAGGTCCTTGGATGGGCAGCACTACACCCAGAGGACCAATCGCTCCAAGGCCAGCAGCACTACCAGCAGGCTCCAAGGCCTGTTTCTAGCTTTCATCTGTCTCGTACTACATCTGTGCTGAAGCCGTGCCTGCCCTTTACCCCAAGGGAGGCTGCGCAAACACCCACGACAAGCTGCTTGCATCAGTTACTTCCACAGGAAGTTCTCACTGCACTGCAGACTTCAGTAAGAGCCAAGGACAGAGAGCGCTAGCTCTCCATGGGCAGCAACGAAAGCTCAGTTACTGCCCAAGTCACCTGTGTGACCAAGACGTAAGCAAGCATCCTCCTCACCACTGTCGGCCTGGTGGAATCGCTCATGCAGACTGCAGCTCTGCACTGACGATACGTGTAGGAGCGTCAAACCCAATCCCACCCGGCTGCTCAGCACCTGTCAGCCTAACACAGCCAAAACACTTTAAAGGCAGCAGGACTACAAGATGCCACTCTCTGTCCATGCAAAGAGCCAGCACTGTCCAAACTCCTTTGCAAGGAGGATTCTCGGCTGAACAGCTGTTTGTTTCATTTTGGTGCCTCAAGCAAACTTTAGGATTTGCTGCAACAGGCAAAAATACAGTCGGTTGTTCACATCCAAGTTAGCTGGAAGCGATTGAAAAGATGCTGGCTAGGGAAGTCTTTGACCTTACACTTTAAATCACAATAAATTCTCTCAAGTGACCTGGAAATTAAAAGATGCTTTCATTTTCCCTGGAAAGGCCCAGCCTAAGGGCTACTCGGTGCTAAAGCTTTTACCGAGATGGCTAAACCGGCAAAGCCCCTTCTGGGGAGGCAGCTTATACCAGCAAGACAAAGCACCCGCTGCACAGAGCGACTCCCCTCGCTCCCGGAGGACGCCGCGGTGCCGGCAGGGCCTTGCACAGCGAGTCTCTACACGGACCCTCGACCACGACTAGGAACGCGCAAGACTGCTGCGTTTTGGCTAGGATTGCTTGGCTCCTCCCCACAAAAGAGGAGAGCGCTGCAGACACCGGAGGAGGACGGCACCCCATGCTTTTCTGAAGGCGGCTAAGTCCTTCCCACGCAAAGCACGTCCCCAGCTGGGCGCACCGAGGATGCCCCGTTCGAGTGAAAACAAGCTGTGGCCGAGGCAACGACTTCAGAGCAGGGAGGAGGAGGAGGACGGCGGGAAGGGGCACAAGGGGACCCCGCAGAACAGCTGCAAACGCGGCGTCTGTAGGCGCCTGCCAGCCGCAGCTGCCGAGAGGGGAGTGCCCGCCGCGGGGGCACAGACCGGGCGCGGCCCCCGCAAGCGCCAGGAGCCAGGAGGCACGAGAAGGGGCTGGGTCGGGACGCGCCGCGCCGCCTACCTGGATGTCCGCGTCCGAGACGCCGAAGTCCAGGTTGGAGACGAGGAGCTTGCCCCCGGTCTCCACACCCGCGCCCGCGCCGAA